GAAACCCTACTTTATACCATATGGTTACTTAGGATCCTTTGGGTAGTGTTGGGCATGGGGTTCCAATAGGTTGTATGATGCTCCGAACAAAAAGCGGGATGTGCCTATACAACCTACCAACCTACCCTTCGGGTTTACAGGTCAGTTCGGCGAGGCCCTTTACAAGTTCATGTTGCAACTGTCAACTTCCGTCAGAAGCCAGCTAGGTACAGAGTCCGAACACGAGGATACCCGCCAGACGACGAAACTTCATTTCAAACATGAAGAGTAGCACTGGAGGGGTTGTATTGTGCAACAGGCGCAGATGCACTGACGTGCTAGTTCCTAGTTAGTTGGTTAGTTCGCTAGTTAGCTAGCTAGTTGGCTAGTTGGTTCGTTGCTGGAAAAACATGAAAACTACTTGTAGTACAGTTTTCTGGGAATACATGAAGGCTAGTACAGATATACATGCAGTTCTCCATTCCTGCTTATCAACCAGCAAGCATAAACAGATGCGCATGCATGACACTGGCATTTCTGACGACTGATGGGGTTGTAATGTGTCCTGCTGGTGCATGTTAGTCGCATATCGAGCCGGGGCTTAGATTGACGAGATGTGGTTTAGTGGTGTTATCTCAGCTATCTCCATATGCACCCTTCCGGAACTTGCAGATGCGACGCAGCAAGCAATCCCTGTCCGATGAATTCTGAGCCCTGAAAAGCAATGGTGTTTTCCGGAGGACCTACAAGCGGAGTTTTGACTGCATAAGGCCAGGGGGTTGAAGCCGTATTGCAGACTTCAAGAGACCCAGCATATGTTTGTCTTTCATGGATTGTCATGGCCCGAGACCCTCAGGCCTAAACACTAAGGCAACCGCAGATAGCCGTTTTGCATGGCAATTGTCTAATGAAGAGTCGCTTGGCGCGATGATGATTTTTTCTGTCACTGGGGAAGTTCATAGTTAGGGGCGGGGATTACTGCTCCTGAAGCCCTGAACCCTGCGAAGTTCTCAGCCTGTGTCTGCGTTGTGGTTGCCCTCAGGGTTAGACTCGAAGACCGCCTTGGTCAACTCTACTCCCCTTCTTATCACATTGAGCCTCCTGTTAATTAAAGACATACTGGCACTTTATGGCTTTAACGGGAGCGCGCAGCGGCCAAACTCAACGTAACTGTTCACACAGCTTTGTGGTTCCAGGCTAAGGGGTGCATGTTGCCTTACTAAGGTTTGAAATAGAGGCTGCGCATACAAGAGTCAGGATTACTACAGGAGCCTATATTAATTACCAATATCATTTTAAGGTC